CTGGTTAGCTCCAAAATCAAAGCTTTCTTGCAGCTGGCCAGCTCAGTAGATGGAATAGTTAGAGTCTGTGTATAACGTTACGCTCAAAAAGCTGCAGAATAGCTCAAGTTAACTCTTACTCACACATTCATGTGTAGGAATGGGTCAACGCTGAGAGAATCAGGACTTAAATTATGAAATAAACATTCTGGGAGCAACAGAACTGTTAAATTTCTTGATGCTTACTTGCTTTTGTAGAATTCATAGCCACACTGCAAGTTTTTTCACTATTTTCTCGAAAGGATTCTTTGAGATTAAACTCTGCTGCAAGCTTTCCTTTAGGGAAAAGAGGAAGAAGGAGTCATTGGGTGTCTCATTAGCCTCTCTTGACTTTTTTCACACAATGTGTAGGCACACCATATAGCGGAGTTCTCTACCTCCCAGTAGAATTTGTTTCAAGCTGGCTAAGTATTTTCTACAGTTGTTTTAGAGGAGACTTGACTAGCCTAAAAAGTTGTTCAGCATTGGTATCTCTAGATTCTTGTCCCAGATGTGTCTTTCTGTAAACTTTTGGGACTATACTGCACCAGACTTTCATGTTTTAAGAGGAAAATCAAACTTGCTTGCACTGTTTCTGTGTTTTACTATTTTTAATTTTGCTACTGATATTCCTTGCACCAGCACTAAGAAATAGTGGTACACTCAGACCTTAGAGTCATAACGCTACTGGAAGGATACCAGGTTTTACAAGATAAATCCCAACTGCTAGACAAAACACTCAGCACCTAGTTCTGCACAGGTGTATTTGTTTCCACTTACTCACATGAATATTTACAGACATAGAGCCCTGAGTTGTTAATTAGTCATAATAGCACTAGCTGTCAGCAGAGAGCCTGCATTTGGGTGAAGCCTTGATTAATACTTCTTACACAAAATATTTATAGGTAAAACAGAGATCTGTTAAAAATATTCTGATATTCCATAACATTACCAACATAAAGCAAATTATTATCATGAGTTCAGCCTAGCACTGTGAATGACTGAAGGCTACGCAGCAGTGGAAGTTATTTGTTTCATCAGATGTGAAAGGCCTGGGCACAGTGTTGAGCACTATATATCCAAGTCTTAACGATGTGTTTTGATGTTTTAAATTGATTATTTCTTTTGAGTTGTTAGTTATAAACCAGATATTAATTAGCAGTTCTGGCTTGTTATGAGGGGGTAATATCCTAAGTCTACATTTTCTTGTAATTGCTAATGTCTTAGAACTATGTTCTTCTTTCTTTCCAGATGCCTCTTCATTGGATTTAGAAACTTTTGATGTACACACTTTATCAGATGCTCTCAAGAGGTATCTCCTAGATCTGCCAAATCCCATAATTCCAGCAACTGTTTACAGTGATATAATTTCTGTTGCTCAAGGTATGAATACCAGATTATTTCAAATGTCAAACAAAAAGCTTTTTTTAGGATTTTGAGTTCTCGGTGATCCGGTACGTAACCCAGAGAACAAGGAAGATTCTGCACAACCTGGCAGTATCTCAGAAAAAAATTGACACCTTTACTGTTTTTGATGCAAGCTGTTTCAGTTCAGATCTAGATCTGCATTATTTACTTATGTGTTTAAGTAAGCATAAAAGAAAATATATGGGATAATGTAATTCTTTGCGTTTTAGTATGTGGAATGGCTATAGAAAAACTGGGGGGAAAAATCAAGGACTTATCTGTGTGCAGAAAGCTAATTTTTAACTTTTTATCAGTGCTGACAAAGTAAACGTATTAGAGGTCGTGGTGTTCTGCAGTATGTTGGGAGTTAAAGATTATGAAGTGACAAATACATGCATGTAAGATTCATCATCTACGGTGCTGATTTCAAACAAACAGCTTACAGGCTTTCAGCTCATCAGTGAAGTACTCTGTTGTATGTCTCAGGACAGGATATTGTTACTGGTAACCTTCAAAGTTAGAACAGCACCTGTGAGGCTTATCTAGTGCATCTCAGAATTACCCAATCATGTGTGACGCTAAACACAAGACAGACTTCTACCAGTACGCTCTGAACACATTGTGGTTTTTACCAAAATGCATATCTGTTTCCATTTGACTTCTGAATACTTGTTCTTTACTTTACCCCAAGCATTTCACTTCTTTTCCAAAGAAGAAACAAATCTTACAGCACTAATGAAGGACTGAATTTTTATTATTCTTTTGCAAAATTGATGCTTCCAAAGGAGGGACGTATTTTAAGTTTTACTTGCTGAATATTCCTATGCTGATATCAAGATCCTTTTATCTGCTTACTTGCAGATGTGCAGAGCTCAGAAGAATACGCACAGTTGCTGAAGAAACTCATTAGATCTCCAAATATACCTCACCAATACTGGCTTACGCTCCAGTATTTGCTCAAACATTTCCTCAGACTTTGTCAAGCCTCCAGCAAGAATCTCTTGAATGCAAGATCTCTAGCTGAAATTTTCAGCCCTCTCCTTTTTAAATACCAGATAGCAAGGTATGTAGGACATCTTTATTATATTCTGTACCATAACTTGGGTTAATTGTATACAAAAGTAATTGTAATGAATTAATTTTGTGATCTGAATTCCAGTGGGGAGAGTATTCTAATAAATTTTTCCAATTCTTTTGAATAATACTAGGGTAAAACGTTTGTATTTCTCCTGTTTCTTACTGTCTAATCCATCTCCTACAGCTCTGATAATACTGAACACCACATAAAGATTCTAGAGACTTTAATTACAAGTGAATGGAATGAAAGACAGCCTGTACCAGGTAAAAGTTATTTCTAATTTTAAAAGCTATATAGTGTCATTTTTTAATAGTAAAATTCAACTTAAGGACAATAAATGTTTGTTGCTTTTCTTTCTGTAATGTAAATGTAAAATGTAAAATGCGTAGTTACAGAACTAAGTTGTTTATATTTTTCATAGTGATGTGTAATGTCTGTTTTATAAGAAGTTATCTTTTTCATTAAATCAGCCTAGTTCCATAGTTTCTACGGTCTTAGGATTTTCATTCCTTTTTCATTAAAGAGAGAACATTAATTTTGTAATTTTAAGACATGTAAGCCAATAAAATGTGTATCATACAGTGGAGGTAGGAGGAATTCTGGAGATTTTATTTAATTGTCCTAAAACTTTCTTAGAACTGCAGGAGCTCGGAGATCATCTGAAGAAGTCAAAGTTTTCCCTTTTGTTTGTTTATGTTATACATATATATTTTTAATCCAGAGACTTAAAAGATTCATTTATCAATAAACTGCAGAAAAAATTAAAAACACATTCAAGAGAATTAGATTATAATTGTTTTGGTGCTGTGAGTTAGCATCTAATTTATCAATAAACTAAGAAACCTTTCTCATTTATGCAGAAATCCCTCTTTTAAAATCAGATACTTGGTAGAAGCAAGGCAGAGTTATGTACTGTGTACAAAGAAATTATTAACATGGGGACACTGTATTTAGACTGAAGTAATTCCTTTTACAGCATATTAACAAAGAATATCTGAGCAAAGGATAGAGTCACGGTGAATAGAACATTGAGCATGATATAGCTCTCCCACCTCTATTCACAGTACAAGGTAAAGTTCATGACAGTTGGATTTATAGGGCTGCTTCAAGTTTCAAAGAGCTGGAACACATCAGCAGAAGAAGAGCAGCAAAAACCTACCCTGTTGTTAGTATTACATGTATGCACATTCTGTAATCCCCTCCATCAATAAATGATTAATTTAAAAATGTCTGAAGGAAAGGTTTTTGTTCCTACTGCTTTGATTGGAAGGTTTTTCCAACCTTGCCAGCTCTATTAATTTTGAACATTTCCCTAACAGCTAGTGTAAATGTATTTTCAGGTAATTTATAGTTCATGGTGGGTTTTTTTTCCACTTTCCTCAAAATAGTTTAGCAGGCATTTCCAGAACCACTCTGCATTTCTGTTCCTAATGTTTCATTAAACCAGGAGAGTTCAAACTTTTAATCTTTTAACGACTGCTTGTATTTCCTTATTAAAAAACTGCAAATAACTTATTTTTCTTTGCCACACATTTAAAGTATTTAGAAGGAAAATGCATTATTGAATCCTCTGTGCTTGACAGAGTTTGATAATAGCAGTTTTGAAATCATGTGTTTGCAGATACTTTAGGATAGTTTTAGGTTTACGTGGCTTGAGACAATGATGTGTGGGATAGTCAGTATTGTTTCTTAAGTTGCAAAGTGAGAGTTACTGAAGTTGCACTTAAGAGATCACGATCACTTAGTTGCATATAGTCCCCAGTTGCTTCCTATGAGGAACATACAAAAGTGAAAGGTGTTAGTGTCAGAACTACTAATGAGGAAACAGTCATCCTGAGAGTAGTATTAGAGCACTTGAAGAAATATGGCTGTATTCATCAGATTTAGAGTTTGACGCTATATTAATAATTAAGCATTAATCATTAAAAACAAATATTTGTTTTTAATATTGCTTCTGGGTTAATTAATATTTTGTAATGTGGTTGTTTATTTTGAGGATCCTTCTGGGATTTCTCATAGGACAAATATAGACCTTCTCTTTGTGTGTGACAGTTCATCCAGAACAATGGAATATTTTCTGTAGAACATTTGCACATCTATTAATATGCTGAAAAAAAGCTTAGGTACAAATTTTTGAACTTCACCGTCTGTGGTTAGCTCACTACTCTGCTCTTAAGCGCGTAAAGCACTTGAATAAGTTCTGAAAGTTGAATCTTTACTGAATGCTAAATGAGTCTCCAGCATTAGGACATAAGTCTGTGCTCAGCACCAAAATCGTTTGGTGACTGATTGTTCACAGTGCTGTGTTTTTATTGTTCTCACAGAACTCTGTAAGATGCATTTTTCCAAATTGTGAACTTCAAGATAATTGATTGCAGTGGCTTGAATTTCTATAAAAAATGTTTAGAGGCATTGTAATAAAGGAAGATCTTTAGCAAAGAGAATTTTTGTCACATAAGTGTTCAGAAAATGACCATTTATAATAGAATTTTAAAATTTTAGAATAAATAATCTTATTTGTTGAAAATAGTGTAATGACAGTTAAGCAATTACAAGCTGCCTTTTTCTTTTCTTTTTCACAGGCTGAAGGGTTAGCATTCTCCCTTCTTTTTTCTTTCTGTTATTCTAAAGCATGGATGAAAACATTCAATCTAAAATGAATTGCACATGAAATTCTAGTCGTATCTTAGGCAGTGAATAGATACAGAAAATCTTGGCCTGGAGATGACTGATCAGAGTAGGGAGGAGACCTTCACAGAACTGTTTGTCTTTTTCATACTATTTCACCCACTAATTGTGGTTCTAGTTTCAGCACATTAGAAAGTATACTAATCAGAATGCTGTTGTATATTGGGCATCCTATAGCAAGTGTGAAGCCTGCACAGCATAGCACAAAAACAGGCTTTAGTGCTAGGCCATTACTGGATTATTATTATTTTTTATCAAACAGTAACTGTGGTCTGAATTTCTTTTTCCTTGTAACTGCAGCAAACTCTGTATTTTGTTGTTGTTACAGTAACGTTTAGCCCTCTGCAAAGTTAAAACAGTGAACCTAGAATACCTCTTATGCCTATGTTTGTAGTATATGAAGACACAGAAGTGTTGCTGACATGACAAGCAACCCTCTGTTTGACAAAGGGCATTGGGAGGTTAGGAGTAGGTTTGGGGAGAGAACATGGAGCAGTCAGAGTCCTTCTGAAGTGGAAGAGTGTAGAGTAGCTTTGGGTGTCCGAGAGGAAGGTGTATCTTAGGGCAGGGAAGTGAAGGGGAAGGAGGAAGAGGTGGACAGAAAGAGGAACATGGAGAGCCAGTGGTGGTATTGTGGGCAGGGGCTGGAAGGAGCTGCCACGTGGCAGCCACCTTGAGTCCTCCTGTTCCCTTTTACTGTTGTGAAATAAGCATGGAGAAGCAGGTTTTACTATTCATAAAGCCATAGTTAAGAAGTAAGATCATGAGAGTGCCTTACACCTAACTGCTGGGGATTCAGTGAGAATCCTGGCAGTATCACCAACATGCAGGCACTTTGCTTTTAGCTGTACAAAAGATCAGCAAGATTAGCAGACAGTAATCAATACAGGGGAGGTTATAGAGGCTTTTTTTTTTTTTTTTTTGTATGGAAATCTGTCTCAAAGCTGCCCTGAACTATGCTGGTCAGGTTCAGCTCAGTTCTGTCTGTAGGGTCTGAGGGCACAGTGGGGAATGTATGAATGCTGTCCCTTGTCTGGACTTTCCATCATCATGTCACAGGTTTTGCTGGACTGTCGGCTATGCAGAGCATGGTTTGGTGTGTGAGCAGGGGCAGTACATCCCCTGGGAGAGCTTCGTATCTGCTGCTGTGCATTGGTTTCTCACCCAGCAGAGGGCTCCCCTTCTAAGCTAATGAAAGTCAGGCTTCATAACTGGTGTAGCAAAGAGCAAAATGCATTGATAATGTCAGCCCTAGCATCGCTCATTTCTTGCATTAGATTTTGACAGCAGGACATACTTTATATTTCTCGATACCAAGTTGAATGTATTTGGTAAAACTGAAATATGTGGCTTTGTAAGAATTGTTTACAGATTAAGGTGTGTTAATTTATATTCATATATAAGTGTATGCAAACCTGTCAGACTTTTCTGCTTTATGCATCATTTTATAGAAACAAATTGGTTATTGATATTGATAGGTGAGCACTGTGCTTAAGACTGCAAAAAGAAGTATGGTGTTGCTTTCTGAAAATGCACATCTATTGATTCAGTGGGCACCGCTCAGTGTGTTGAGATTTTAATTTGAATAAAAGTTAAGAACGGTCAGTTGTGTGAAAATGCTGTAGTGTGCATGTAAGAATTTATTTTTTTGAAAATGTGTGTGGTTCCTTCTGCAGGATGATTAGACATTCATTTTTGCACAAGGCAGAGGAATAAAAAAAAAAAAAGCCTGGACTTAGGAACAGAGTCTTATCTTTCATCTCTACCTGTGTACCCATGCTTTTTAAAATGATAATCAGTTAAGTGAACCAACTTCGTGTTGTCTTGTCTTCTTTGAAAATATGCATCTGTATCTTGGCCCTATAAAACAAAAAGTGTTATCAAGCTCTTTTGTAATTTTTAGCAATAAATATGAGACAAATCAGTTACTAGCAGGAGCTACACTATTCTTGTGCTGTGGATGTGCAGTGCCATGCTTTAAGAAACACTGGTTATTGTCTTCATTTGCAGTAGGCTGTCCTTTTATGATGGCACTGCTTTAAATCATATGTATAACTGATAATTGTTCAAGTAGGCAAAGGCTAAAATTTGAAAAGTTGAGTGATTTTTATAAGTGAAGTTAATCTATGAGCTGTAAAACATTAAAGTTGTACTGAAGATTTTTGGGATTTAACGGTATAATGAAGTATAAGTGAATTTTGGTAGATACAGTATTTTGTAGCATAGAGGGATTTGGATAGGAGGATTGTTTGTGGGGTGACAATTTTAGTGCTATTTGACTGCCAGAAAGACTGCAAAAACATCTCACGGGGCCCTGCTACCAGAAGTTCTCAATTGTTTCCAAAAAGTGGGAGGAAAATACATCCTCATCCCCTTCCTCCTTTCTCTAAATTGAACTCTGTGGTCTGCTGATTCTCCTCTCACTTTGGCTTTACTTCTTTATAAAGGTATAGCTGGCAAAGAAGTTAACTTTCATGCACAAAACAGAGCAGGCTCTTCAATTGCTGCTTCATTCATTAGGAGGGCAGATCTCCACCAAACAGTAAAGCAAGGAAGATAGATTTGACCTGGACCACTCCCTCTCTGGGCAGTCCCTTTTCCCACCTGCCTGCGTGAAGTGAATAACCCTGACATGCTGGCAAATAACATGGATACGGAGAGGTGTTTTCCCTGCTATTTCCACTTCACAAGAACTGGGTAAAATACCTCGCAGCTTCATTCTGAGAGTTTTCATGCAATACGTGTATCTGTGATCTAGAGCAGGAGGTAATGCTATGGTTGCAAGCAGGCTATTTAGCTTGCACAGGGCTGACCTGTGAAATGCAGCTCTTTTCAAGGAAGATTTTGATTCTGTTTTATTTTTCTGCAGAAAGCAAGCCACTTCCTGTAGTTAGTTTGTTCTTAGCGTGTCTCTTTGATACTGCACTCAGCAGCAAGTTGCAGAGTCTATTTAGGGCCTCTTACAATGGACTTCTCGCTTACTTAGCTAAAATGAGAAAGTTAGCCCTGCATTGACCACTTGTTGGCTGATGACAACTTTTACTTTGAATTTGGCTCCCCTCCCCCACCTGAAATCCCTGGCTCAGCAAATATTTGAACCTGCCCAAGTTAATCATGAAACTGAGATCTTTATCTCTGAGAGACATGCAAGCTACTGAGGGTGGTGGTTTCTTTTTTTCTTTTTTTTTTTTTAACAGTACTAAAGTCAGGTTCACTTTTTAATGATGAACCAGAGTAAGAGGATACCTTCTGCAAAGCACAGAGCTGAGAAGAAGCAGAAGGCTGGGATTTTCTCATTGCATATTGCAGAGATTTTGGTGGAACAGTGGTTGGAAAGCAGAGTCTCGTGTTTCAGAATTATCTTCTGCTTCAGAGAAGTTTCCTCAAAGAAGTTTTTTGTTTTGCTTTTTTTTTTATAAGGAAGATTTTTATAAGAGGAAGCCAATTTTTCAGGTTGTTGGATTATCTTTTCAGACTGTATAAGAAGGGCAAGCATTTGCGATGCATAATTTACAAAGTAAGTGATTCTGAATTTCTTTGTGTTTTCTTCATCACCTCATGGAACTATTTTACTGTAACTGATTACCAAATAGGGATTTAATAGTCTTAAAATACGGGAGTGAAGGTCAGGTACCTGTGGGTTATGCAGGGAAACGCCTGTCTGCCTCCTGTCTTTCCATGCCCGCGAGTGAGCCTGCCTTGGGCTGAGCTGCAGCCCGTTTCTGCAGCACAGCAGACTCAGTTCAGCCAGAGCTGAATCCCGGGAGAAGTAATTTCTCTTGAAAGGCTTCATTCGACAGAACAAAAAACATTGCTGATCCTACATTTGACCTAAGTGCAGCCATGTAGTCTTTGCAGGAGCTCTTTGTAACCTAATTTAAATAATTACCTTGGCAACTCTATGTTTAGGTAGCAGGTGGGCAAACCTCAGAGCACGGTGTCAGGACTTGTGCATGGGATGAGTTCAAGTATCCTGTTTCACTTTGAAAATGGAAGGAATCTTTGGAGCATGTCTACCTAAGCAGGGAGGGGAGTCTGCTTCACAATGAATTTAAGCTCGTTAACATATAAAGCAAAGCAGCATGTGTTTTTTGTAGTTGCTGGTACTTCAGACATGTTCTGATGTGTTAACGCTTGTGTGAAGGCGGTGGACTGGTGAGGGGAGCAGAGGGAGGGGAGATGTGTGAAATGCTTGGAAAGGGTAGAAATTGTCTTAATTTTTTAATGAGTATTTGTGAGATAGAGCACGTTTCAGCTGCAGCAGGGTTCCTTATGATGAGGTACAGATAGTTGCTACAGTTACCCTTTGTTGTGGTTATTTTTGGTATCTGATTTTCTGCTGCCATAGAGGATAGTGAGGATGAAGCACTCAGATTGCTTTCCACAGCACTCTGCTCTGGAATCAATAGTCTGTTCTGTGCGTGTTTCCCAAAGAGGTCTGACAGAGCGGCAGTCCATGATGGGGGGTTAGAAAGAATATTTCTGAGCACCAGGAGTACACGGGAGGTGTAAAGTCAAGTTTGGAAGAAGATGCTGACAAGGACTCTTGCTTTTAAAAGCAGTTAACTTGGTATTTCAGTGACAACAGCGTAAAGAAACAGTGTGAAAAGGTAAACTAAATCCTGCTGTATCCTGACAGACTGGCGTTCTATATTCAGCAAAATCATTTTTCAAGATCTTAACTCAGTTTTTTACATTATTCCACAGTGTTGGAGAGCCTGGTGAATGTAAGGTTACAATATTTGATGTTTAGGTTTCGAAATGAATTAGTCCAGATCAGTTGGAGTTGTATTTTATTATAAAGTGATAGTGGGGGGAGGCATCTACTGCAGTGTGTCCACTTTATCTAGTAATTCTAGGAGCATCAGATCAGCATGCCCGTTAAAATACAGAAGTCTGTACAGTTTGAAAATGTAATCCGTATTTCATTCTGTGGATACGTACATGCTAAAGTACGTGTGTGTGTATTGGGCACATAACGGATACTGACACACACAAACACGCATGCAGAGTCATGTTCTTATTCCCTTCCGCATCATTAACATGTACCCTCCATTAACATGAAACCCTCCAAAGCCTTTTCAGCAATAAACTCCAGGCATCCGAGTAGGAAAATGAATCTGAGAAGTGACCTACCTATCCATAAACGGAGCTGTGCTGTGTGTGAGCGTGCATGTGTTGTGTGCGTGCGGTGTGTGAGAGCGACGTGCTGCAGCATATCAGCCTTTTGTCATCCTGCCTGCCTTGGACTGTACCATGCTGCAAAGTCAGGAAAATGAAATGGATGTGTGGTGTGTGAGGAGAGCCCGCTCTGTCTTTTTGCTTGTAATACCAGGTTTATATTGTAGTTCTGCTAAATGCGGGTTCCTTCTGAAACTGAAATTGTTTTAAGATTAATGTAGAACAAAATGATGAAACAGGAGTGGTCTGGTGACATTATTTTGACATGATTGGCTGAGGATTATGATGTAATAGGTTACAGTGCAGCCCCTTATAGGTTTTAAAATGAATTCCAAGGCACCATTACAAAGAGAGCCTGACTCTTTCCTTGTATCTGAGCTTACTCAGTGAAACTCATACAAATGTACAATACTGTTTGGAATATGGAAGAACTGGATATAGAATATCCTAAGACAGATATAAACTGTGGCACAGACTTGATGTTTTACATAGAAATGGATCCACCAGGTAAAACTGCAGTCTTATTATGGAAGACTTAATTCTTTTTTATCTATATGGTAGATGCTGAAAGATTCTTAGTGGATATGTAGGATTTATTTAGATTGTCGTTGATACAAATACTTTTTCCTTTTTTTCCTTAATAAGAATTGTGTTTCAGTGCTTGGCTATATTAACTGGTATCATAACCTGTAGAAATGCCTGCCTGCTTACTTACTTGATTTTTTCTGAATTGACCTGTTTCTGTTTTGATTTTTTTTTTTCTGTCTGTTCTGAAAAATTTCATTTCTTTTGTAATTATTTTTTGCTATATTTGTTCAACGCTGTGGCTAAAAAGAGATGCTGTAATAACACTTCTATTTTCTGAAGCACTGATTACAAACTGTTGGTTTGGATCGTTTTAAGAACTGATTTTTAAAAACTAGCAATATTAATTGAATGCTTGATATCGCATCATCTTTTCATATCATATAAAAATACTGTGCTCTCTTTATTTTCATTGCATCATCTTTCATAGCCAGGGTAATATACATACAGGGATGTTCATAAGAAGTGTTGTACTTACTAAGAAACTAAAAGAGCTGGGATGATTTTTTATTCCTGACCCCAATATAGTCCCCCTTGCTAGTAAGTCAGGAGTGCTGCAGTGTCTTCCTCTGGAAGCCACTGGTATACGTATGCATCTTTGACATTGAGGAAAGGGGATGTGGTTTTTAATCAGCCCTGGCATTTGGAAGACAATTTATTCTGAAGAATTCTAAGATTAACACAAGGGATATTTGGGTCACAGATGGGTTTCTTAAAGTGTTTTTTGGCAAATCATTGCACAGAATGCAGAGAATCATGGAAATCTAGTTCATAATATTAAAACGTACAGTACTACTGTGGGTTTGCATCTTCTATTACTCAGCTTCTAGGTGAGAAAACAGCAACATTACTGTAAGATCACTGTGTAGGAGAAAAGAAAATTAATTGCTGCATGTTTTATTATTTATGGTTACCGGAGATAGTGGAAGAAGATAAAAGCAAACTTCAGAATATTTTTTTTTCAAATGCTTTTATCAGAGTAGGAAGAGATAAGATGTTATATTTTGATTAAAATACGTTATTGGAAGACTAACATACTTTTTTTTTGAAACAGTGCATCTGTCTTGTTGAATTGTGTTGTTTTCAGAAAAATATCTTCATTCCTTTGGTTACTTTTAAATACTGCTGGAGGTGGAATACTCCATAAGTATTTATTTTCTCATTCATGTAATAACCTGTAATTTCAAGAGATATGTGGTCATGTTTTCAATGAGTTATAATGAACTTTTCCCCCCTTTATTTGTAGCACTGCCTCCTAAGCCACCGAAACCTAATACTGTAACTAACAACGGCATGAATAACAACATGTCATTACAAGATGCTGAATGGTACTGGGGAGATATATCAAGGTAAAACAGCTCAAGACATGTAGTTCTCGTGTTTGACTTTATATTTCTGCTGTGTTGTTCTTCGTTTATGTACTCTGCATAAGTACAGAAAAATTACAGTAATAAGAGTTATTTTTAGGATATTTTCCAACACAATCATATCACACTTGGTTTTATTCCAGACATGACTAAAAAGTTACTGGCAGTCCTTTAGAATGTAATGCATAAAATGATTTGGTGATTGTTCTGTTATTTTAAGATAGCTGTATGAAATACTAGCATGAAAGGACAGCACTGAGAAATAAGTATTTTTTTATCCTGTTTTTCATCCAGAACCACAACTGTAGGCACAGTACTTAACAAGCCAGACTAACAAGTGCTATGTATTAGCAACATTTTTAACTGTACTATATATAGGTACATTAGACCAACACTGGCTGCTCCAATTGCGCAGGCTTGTATGAACAAGCAGAAGAACTCTGCAGGAATATAATTTTGTTTCAGCAGTGAGAGGACATAGAATACACTGTTTTTGTATCCCAGTTGTTCTATAGTAATAGTAAATAAGCTATTAAATAACTGTCTGTATTTATATGGAGATCAAGGAGGCTTATAAAATAGTTATTTTAGAACAAGAATTTAGAGCACAGGGAGATGATAAAGGAGTGAGAAGTAACTGAAATAATCAGTTACTTTTGCTTTCATTTTAGAGAAGAAGTAAATGAGAAACTTCGAGACACTGCTGATGGTACCTTTTTGGTACGAGATGCTTCAACCAAAATGCATGGGGACTACACACTTACTCTAAGGTAAGATGTTACGTCTGTAATGTGTGACAGCAAAATGCAGTACTGCATTGAAAATACAGTGTTCTTTAGGAAATAGTACTCCAAGTATGCCTGACTTTTTAACAAACTTTATTTGCAGGAAAGGAGGAAATAACAAATTAATCAAAATATTTCACCGAGATGGGAAATACGGCTTTTCTGACCCACTGACTTTCAACTCTGTGGTTGAGCTAATAAACCACTACCGGAATGAATCTCTAGCTCAGTACAATCCCAAACTTGATGTGAAATTACTGTATCCAGTGTCGAAGTACCAGCAGGTAATTTGCTCTCTTTTCTTTGTGTTCCACTTAGATACAGAGAAATTATCGCGGACTGTTACAAAGAATTTCAGCTCTGTTAATATTTAAAAAAATAAAATGAGTATGAAAGTAGGTATTTTTGTTTAAAACTAACTCCAGAAGCTGCTTAAAAATAACTAAAACTTTAAATACTGCAGATACATTATTAAGAAATAAACTTATATAAGTAATAAATAGCCCACTCATTGCCGATGAAATATATCATTTCTAGTATAAACTGCACGCTTGTTACGCAAAACTGCTTTTTGTCATTAATTTCATTTGTATTTGCAAATGGTGCATATAGTACATCTTACCTCTATATTGATAAAAGAGGTGTCACCATGTAAATATTTGGACTTTTTTAAGCAGTTCTGAAAATCTGTGCAGCGTATTGTTGTTTTATGAAATACCTTTTCTTCTATTCCCAGGATCAAGTTGTAAAAGAGGATAGCATTGAAGCAGTGGGTAAGAAATTACATGAGTATAATACCCAGTTCCAAGAAAAAAGCCGAGAATATGACAGACTCTATGAAGACTACACACGAACATCTCAGGTAAGACATATTTGAAACCGAAAGACTAATGTATGTTGAGAAGAATGTTATTGTGAATTCATACTGCCATCTTTTTCCTTCCTCCTCCTCCCTTCCACTGCCTTTACTATTGCCCAAAAACAGGAAAACAACGTACTTGATGTGCTAGCTCAGTGCAGTGAAATTGCTAACTTGTATTTGAACAGTCACCACCTGCAACCTAACACTATGCTCAAGACTGACACATGCATTCAAAGCAATCACGAAGCCACTTTGATTTACCAGCACTTCTGCGTACTTTCCTCTTCTGTCCAAGTTACGGTTTTCAAGACACATATGGCAAGGAAGCATTCTGTTTTATCACCAGTTTTGAAAACTTCTGCTTTCACCTATGCAGGCTGGAGAAATGGCGTGTAGTACATTGATAGAATGAAAAGCTGCTTCTATCCTCCTTTCATTTTAAACAATTACTAGCCAAGTCTTGAAGCATCAGTGAATTAGTGCTGTTTTATACCACTGGAATCCAGACTGCTCCTTAAAGTTAGCAGAAAATAAGACTGAAAGTAATAGCAGAAAGATGGAGGTGTGCAGGCAACTTTCATTTCATCACTTCAAAGACTTAGCTATCAACTAGCTATGTAGAGGCAGGAGGATGGACTACATGACTTCTGATGATCTGTGCATTTCACTGGCTTGTAAATTTTTTTATTTCAGAAAGTCAGCTGTACTTCTAAGGACTTCGACTTGATACAAAGGGAAAAATTGATTGCCACAGGGCTTTAGTCCTCAGAAAAAAAAACTTATTTATACAAAACAAAGATTGCATCTAATTCTTTGTCTAGCAGTGTTTCTTTCCTGGAAAGCCTCATCATGACAGCCTCTTGCACAGGTCTGATTTCTGTATTTTGTACTGCAGACAGAGTACATTCTGGTAATTGGATATTGAAGTCATTGTTAAAACATGCTCGAGTGTTTCCATGATACAAGCCAGTAAATAATCCTTCTGTTTGATAACCACTATAATTTAAATAACTATTTTATTTTCAGGAAATTCAAATGAAAAGAACTGCTATTGAAGCATTTAATGAAACAATAAAAATATTTGAAGAGCAGTGCCAGACGCAAGAGAGATACAGTAAGGAATACATCGAAAAATTTAAAAGAGAAGGAAATGAAAAAGAAATACAAAGGTCAGTATTTGTATTTACAAAACTAAAGTAAGACTGCAAAGTTAAAGTATATCAGTTGTAAGGAAAGAAGACTTCAAATGGGGTAGATGTGAACTGCAAAGCATGAAGCTACATTTAGAGAAATGATCTGTTCTTTTAGTTGTCTTGATGAGAAAACAGAAGGTATAAAGGTCAAAATAAAACACAGTGAGAATATAACCTATCACATTGTTCTATTCAGAATTATGCACAACTATGAAAAACTGAAGTCTCGAATAAGTGAAATTGTGGACAGCAGGCGTAGATTAGAAGAGGACTTAAAGAAGCAAGCAGCTGAATATAGAGAGATAGACAAGCGAATGAACAGCATTAAGCCAGACCTCATACAGCTGAGGAAGACAAGAGACCAGTACCTGATGTAAGTATCATTATGAATTAACAAGTTCTTTCTTTGATTTTTTTTTTTTACTGGCATCCAACTTCTGTGACTAATAATTAATTTCATTTGCAATTATTGTCCAGGTGGCTGACTCAAAAAGGTGTTCGGCAAAAGAAGCTGAATGAATGGCTTGGAAATGAAAATACAGAAGAGTGAGTATTCCAAGATTTAAATATTCCCAATGTTTCAAATCATCTTGCACAGAAGTGAGGTAGAATATATTTTGATTCCAGGACCACAAAAAGGGAATCTCGAGCTTAGATCTCTTGTAACAGTGCACACAGTTAACACGTGGCAGCAGGCCTAATGCAGGTATTCAAAAGCATACTCTGTTAGACTCTACTTGGCTGTTACTCAGGGAAGTGTGAATCAGGTTACCATAGCAAAGCACAAGAACTTAACCTGTGTCTTTATTCTTGTGAATGAAGTGAAGATTATAAGGTGTTAGTATCTTAGAGGGATGTCATATGCATGGATAAATTGTTCAGAAGGTCTTATAGGTGCAGACAGACTGTTTCCAAATTGCAGTTGCTGATCTTATGGTGTTTATCCTATACTAGGTAACATCAGAATAGTAAGTTAAGTTGTTTAAAGAAAATCTTCATCTCCTTCGTCTCCAAGACTGTCCTTGTCAGTGAATCTGTTAAGTACTTAGATTTCTGCTGATAAATTAAATTTTTAGAACTTGACTTTTTTTCTGAAGTTGCAAAGCAGAGAAAATGAGTGTAATAAGCAGTTCTGGTAAAATCCAGAGGGACAAAAAACAAAGGGAACCCTTCTTTGTCAATGAATTATATCCATGTGAGATTGCTTATCTTGGTGGACTACTTGGAGATTCTTCAGAAAGACTGACTGTAAACAGAGTGGGAGAGGCAGCGCCCACCACGGCAGGCTGCTGGCAAATAGGCAGCTCTTAAACTGTAAAATATTGAAATGGTGGTGTCCTCATAGCTGAAGCATAGGCATCTTCTTTCACAATGGGTTTAGCTCAGAGAATTCTTTAAAAGTCTGAATCGGTTTTGTAGAGGTAACTGTTCTGGTAGAGAAGGTCTTATCATATATTGTTACATATTTTCTTCATAATCTGGTTATAAGAGAATCCTCTACTATTCAAGCCTTTCTACAAAGCCATCTTTCATATGAATAATATATCTCCCTGTACTACTGCTCATAGCTTTCACAAGCAGCAAATGTAATCAATACATTGCATGATTTTTCACTGCTGACCAAGTGTTCTGATCTTTGAAAATAAAGCTAACTCAGTGGATATTGATTTCACTGGGCTTGCTGTTTACCAAAACATGGGGCAATGGCAGAAGTACTGAAGTGCTCGCAGCATATTCTGAAAGACAAGACAGCATTCTTTTTATGTCCTTCTTCAGATCCACATGAGTATTTTTAAAAGAAACAAGGTCCATAAGTTTTATTTTTATTCAGCAAGAGAAATGTATTACATGATTTACATCCCTAGTTCTGTCTGGGACCTACTAACCAGCAACTTAGTGTATCCCCAAGTAATATGAAAGGCAGTCTGCCTTATTCCTGCAGCACATTGCGTATATAGCAACGTGTTTCACAAACATATTTTGTCATATTTTGACAGCCAATACTCTATGGTGGATGATGATGAAGACTTGCCGCATCATGATGAGAGAACATGGAATGTGGGAAATATCAATAGAAGCCAAGCTGAAAATCTCCTGCGTGGAAAGCGAGATGGAACATTCCTTGTTCGAGAGAGCAGCAAACAAGGCTGCTATGCCTGCTCTGTTGTGTATGTACTCTAACCTGTGAATGATTTGAACAACCTTTGAGGCAGCTCAAATGCTGAGCCTTGAGCAAGGGGTGCAAATATATATTTGCATGTGCATGGTTTCCATTGGATCTTTAGGCTTAGAAGCAGATTGGCAAGTCCTGAGGCCATGAAGAAAGGAACATAGGGCACAGAATAACTCATTTATCTGCAGCTACTAAATCCTGCCTATCTCCTATGTCCCTTGAGTAGCACAGCACCTGGAAATTCAGGTTAAACTTAGCCTTTTACCAGTATCCTACCACAGAAGACAAGAGTGATGAGCATTTTAAGGCTTCTTGTCAACACCTTAGTTTCCAGCTTAGTTTTACAGTATTGGGAAACTAAAAACTGGTTGTTTCTTTTCCTCTTTAGGGTGGATGGAGAAGTGAAGCACTGTGTGATAAACAAAACACCTACTGGGTATGGATTTGCAGAGCCATATAACTTGTACAACTCTCTCAAAGAACTGGTGCTACATTATCAACACACATCCCTCGTGCAGCACAATGACTCTCTCAATGTCACACTAGCCTACCCAGTATACGCACAGCAGAGGCGATGAAGATCTTAATACTCTGGGTTGTTTGGTTTTTTTCTAAAGAAGAGATTTGACAACATTGAGGCCTCTGGAGAGAGAAGGCTCCTTCCAGCCTTACTCAAGAATTTGAGCTGCAGTGTCAAAGCTGTCTGTCTTCAGATGGGACTAGAGCTTTCCTTCACAACTGCAGTGGGAGAGATCACAGTATTAAGCTGTGAATGTATGTTTCTAATCTGAAGTGCTTTTTTTTTTTCCCTTCCCAATTGAGAAACAGAAAACACAAGAGTGAGAAATCCTAACCTGATCTCCCTGCAGGGACATAGAGGCCTTTTACCCATGGTGCTTGTTTACGACCACTTCTGAAGCTTTACCAGCTAGAACATTGGATTCTGCAAACACAAGGTTTAAGAGGTCTTTTCATTCACTTATTGGAATTTCTTGGTCACGACCTGGCTGGGATTTGGTGTTGCCACACTCAGTGGATCCAGACACACAGCATTGTGGATTTTTTGGTTTCTGGTGAATGACATGTAGCAGAATGGCACTTTCATTTATAAGGGACACTTTAAAGGACTTCAGTTACAGTATGCTGTTAAAAGAGATCATGATAGTGAAGTGCCAGAAAGTGTTTTGCTTAGATGCTTAAAAATCCTGTTTTAAGAAAACAGGTCTTTCATTGGCATACAGTCTATAATAGTGTACATAGTATTGGATGGCTAACTATCGTTGATGGAAACTATCAATACCAAACTGCTTCTCTTTTCCCGTTTCTGTTTGCTGAAAGCTGAATTCTTAGACCGTGCTATGCAATACTGAATTTTCTTTAGGCTGTAGTCTTCTCTTGAGCATGTCTACAGGTTAAGCTTGTTTTTCTTTCTTTTTTCCTTGCTTTCTTTTTACTTTCTTTTTTTGCCTGATGATATTTTTTTTTTTTAATGTACAGGAAGCCACCAAGAGTTGGCTTCATAATTAAAACTATGAAATATTTTACAGTTGTCTTTGTACAGAATATTGAGCTACTAGCTCCACGTTTTAAAAGTTCATAATTTTTTTTTTTTTTGACTAAATATTTTGTTGGGCAGTGCCTGATAAGCTTCAAAGCTGCTTTACTCAATAAAAAAGATATGAACCTTACAAAATATCATGGACTCCAACAATATCGTTTCAGAGACATCTTTAGAATACGGTACCACGCTATGTTTGCTTTTTGAAGCATTCTGAACTTCTGTCATGATTGTCTTTGTATTTAGAAGATAAAAAATTGTGTATCTTTCTCTGATAATGACTGCAGAAAAACAGGAAAATTTGGCTACTGGGTTAGATAGGTTGGATTTCAGAATGAAATCATGCTTCATAGTAAATAAATGACATCTTGATCTACTGCGGCAGAATTCTTGTCAGCATATCAAGCTATTTTCATTTCACATGAAGGAAGTTTCTCTAAACTGTTGCCGAAGTTTGTTTTTTCGTATTCTGAAAAAGGTTCCCATCTTTAGGTAGAACAATCAGATACAACATAGAGCGAATTACAACTGGAAAACCTCTGTTTTGACAATGATAAGGCTTTCCTAATTAACGCTTTGGATTTGTTTTCATAACTTTGTAGACTGAGGTAATATCAAAGTGAACACTTTCATAATTTCAAGCTCCAGAGATTTTCAGAGTTATGGTTCAGTTAAAGGAAATTTAAAAAATTCCACTAAAGTAAACTTGTTAGTAATTCTGGGGCAATTCACTGTGGATGGTTTGCGATGGCCGTGTTTTGCCATCGAGTTGTCTCATGATAGCTCTGCTTTAGAGATACATGTGGTTTGATTCCAAGTACGCAGTGCTTCTTAAGCTATTGGAAATAATAAGAAATTTCCAGGTCTCCAGTAGTTTTTATATTGTCTTCTATTTTTTACATTATCCCTTCATTTATGAGGCTGTAAATCTTTTAATCTTATTTGGATTTTGTGCTTTTTTTGGTAGGTTGTCTTTGCTTTCCTATAGATGTATTTTCTTGCTAGAATCTATATCGGGAAACAAGATTCAACCAATATTCATGTGTCGGGATAGTTACCACTTGCAAAATTATTCTGATTTTTTTTTTTTTTTCTGAATAGAATTTTAGTCTCCATGCCTTCCCTTCTGCATTCCACTCTCTTTTAAGGCTTCTCAGAATAGAACCATGTAAATTTGGTATTGTAATAACTGTTGTTTTACTATGAAAAACACCAACAATTGCTCTAGCATGACAGTCATACTACTGGGCTTGAAGTTACAAATTAGCTCCATACACAACTTAACACTTGTAGCAATCCAAGGTATTCTTCAGACATATATTAATTTTTGAATGTTAAATATTTTATGAGTAAAATTGTATTTTTTTCTCTATAAGCAAAATATATGTAATCTGAATGGATGTTTCACTTTGTATTTCTCAAGAAATTTCATGGGAGTTAAGGCATTTGGATCTGATTTTCCTCATATTAAGTAAACCTCTGCTGTGTCAGTGGGCCATATCCTTAGCATGCCCAGCCCAGTAAGGGATGTCATTTGTTCCTGTTGTGCTGTACTACTTCACTTCATCTGTGGTTCTAGCAGAGAAAAAATAGTGTGCGTGCAAATTTGGCACTTGCTTTTATTGCACAAGCAACAATGAGAAATAAGCACTATATTGTGGGGATAAATGCTTAGGGCTTCGTTAAGGGAAGTTCTGCCTACACAGGGTCTGTGCAATTCACAAGGATCACTTGCGCCCTCAAAGTGGGCATGAGTGGGATTACTTTGGTACCTAGGTAATTGTGTGGCCTCTGTATTTCCCTCCCTCCTTAATGCATGGAGCTGCATCCTGCCAAAGGCCCTATTCACTGCAGAGTTTGTCCTTAATATACCATACTGTTCACTCCAGTTTTGATTTGATCTCAGACTAATAAACTGAAGAAAAGGAAAAAAAAAAAGCATGTGGATATAACTGAAGAAACACATTGCTTTTGTGTTTCTATTGACGTGTACTTTTTCCACCTGATATGACTGAAAGGTGGGAGTCGTTTTGGTTCTTTTTTTTTCTGGTTGTTCGGGGAATTTTTAATTTCATTTTAAATCCCTGAATTATGCTGCACTGCAGCAGCGGTTGTGCAAGGCTTTTGAAAGGTATGAGGCAAAACACAGAGAACCAACACCCACAAGCAAAATTAGGAGTTTCTGTTTGGGGATATTGCATGTGTGCATCTTGTGCATATGCGCACACACTTGCTGTGTTTATATATGAATAGATCTCAGTATAGGTGCATTTTCACCAAATGTGATCATTTTGCTGAATTCAGTAAGTGATATCATTAATTTTGTGTAAGACACAAACGCACTAGACCTTTGTGGGTGCAGCATGTTTCCAAATGCAGTTTCTGTGTTGTTGTTTTTTCTAAAAAAAAAAAGCTTGTCTGTATAGTTCAGTTATCTAAAAAATCTTGTCAAAAAATCTGTAAACCAAATCTTCAAATTTTCTATTTGGTGTCAGCTGTTCTGTAGTAAAGAAATGGCTTTGTCTTGTAATTGGCAATGAAATAATAATGCTTGGGAAAACATGCAGATGCTTCTAATGGGGAAAACTTATGCCGATTTTCACACAGTGCTTTTGCTATGCATGGTATTAAGTTGGGAAAGTGAATCCTGGTAGTATTTTTTTCAGGGTCACTTTTAGAAATGGGCAGCTCAAAACACAATGCCTCCCATAGGACGGGGTTCCAAAATGCAACATTTTGTGTAGAATCGTGTTGTGTTTGCTGAGCGGAAAGCTAAAGTAGACTGGGGGAGTTGGTTATGTTACATTGCGCTTGTCCTAATGAGATTGCATTAGCTGCCCAAGATGCTGCTATTTTTTTTTTTATTCTTGTTTTTAAAAATAAAGCTCTGTTCTGTTAAATGTCTTTAAAACATTAAGATTGCTTTGTTTTAAAATGGTCTTCAAGGAGGTGGAGGGTAAAGTGGGTTGTAAATTGCCTTCACAAGGCAACAGTGAAAACATGCCTCCTTGAAATTCTGTTCAAGCTGTAGAGTTGATGGAGCTGTGTCTTGTTTTTAAGTTGCTTTAAAAATTGTAATAAGTCTTCAAGCAGAATAAAAGTTGTTTTGAAAAAGCATTTCAGTTGTTGAGGCTTCAGTAAAGACTGAGATGTCTGTTTACCAGAACTGAATAAAGTAGCTGACTAGCTTCAAAATAGTCTTGTGCCAAAATGATGGTTCTGCTAGTTTCATACTCTTGCAAGAACAGTGCATCTGCCTTTTACACTGAAAGTGAAGTTCTGTTTCTTCTGAAATTCGAATGAGTGTGGTTATTGATATCCATCAAGTTAGTCTAACAATCCGTTAGCTGGAGGTATCTCACCACTTATGCCTTTTCCTGCCTGTGAAAACTAAGGTGACAGTGAAGAAAAGGGAGAAGTTAGAGGGTGAAATATGGTGTTAAAATTTTTCAAGCACATCCACATCTTGCGTTTAGAAGCTCCCTAGGGAAGCCAGCCAATCCCTCTGGAAGAATAAGGAGATTCCTGTTCCCAAGTTTTCCATTCCAAAATCTGCCCACTTGTTGCTCACTGTAGTCACAATAATATCAGCCAACTGAGGTACTCAGGTACCACGGGTGGAAATCAGAAATTTTTACAGCATAATCACCGGCCCTTACTGTTTCTTAGAAGAAACAGATGAAAGGCCGTACTGGATTTTCAATTCAAGCAATACAGTGGGGTTAGATCTCTGACGAACATGTGCATTGCAGTTTTTGTCAATTAGTAAGCTGATTCTTTTAAATAGACACCACGCTTATCTTTTTCCTGCTCACAAAGCATATATTAAGCAACACAAGCTCTTCCGTAAGCCAGAGAGATCCACATCTAAAAATAAGGTTATGGTTGTGAATCACACATCTCCAATCATCAGCTCCTCAGAGATGTTATGATTGGTTGATCATAATCTGCAGAAATATACAGACCAGTGGCTTTCTGGCCTCTGTCATATGCTGTATAGAAATCACACTTGGCAGACTGAAAAGAATAGTTTTCAAAAATGTCATTCTATTTTTGTTGTCTGCAGACAAAAACACTGCCACTTTTCTCTGTTTTTTTCCTAAGGCTTGATGGTCATTTTTTCTTAAGGAATGTGAAAAACTGCTTGAATTTGTCTTTGTGCAGCTACAAGTTGGTGTAATTTTTTAAAAATATTGGGAATACTTTCCAACTTCGGTCTGTCCCCAAGCCGCTTGACGCACATAAGTCCCAAGCATGGGTAGCTTCTCACATGTCCCTTTGAGTCAAAGCAAAAAGAGGGGATTTTAGGCTGCTTGCTGTCCTGTGAAGGAATAGGTGATGCCTCCTCCCCTCTCAGAAGGAACAATGAAGACCCTCACAGCTGTCTGTGGGGATTCAGGCACAAAATTCAGGCAGGAATGAGCAAAGTTCTGTGGCACAGCTCCATGTGCTGTGAGGTCCACCTGCATTTGCAACCTTCCGTTATCTCCACAGGGCACTTCTGTTTTGCAGGGGTGCTCAGAGGGATTCTGACATCTCTGGAGTGTTGAGGAGACAGCTTATGTTTACAATGGCCTACGATGTCCTGTACAAGTCCAAACAGGGCTGCATCTGCTTCTACCTGGGAAACAAGTTGACTCCCTTCACCTTCCTCCCCTCCATGTCTTGAGTGCCCAAGGCTGAGACTGGCACCTGCTACCATGGGGTATGCCAGTCCCATGGAGATTGCCCTCAGTTACAGGGTGGAAACTAAGGAAACTGTAAATGCTGAGGTCCTGCCAGCATCCCTGGTTGGAAATGAGGAAGAAAATTACTAGTTCTCTTTGCCTGCTGGGATGTGGGGTCAGGCACGTTTCCAGCCAGAGCGAGGTTGTACAGAAGTCACTGCACTCGTCTTTAAAGCAGCTGAAAAAAGAAGCATTAACTATGGGAGCTCAGCAGAGGATGTGGCTCTGACCTGTCTTCCTTTTTTTTTTTTTCTTTCTTTCATTTTCTTTCTTCTTTCTTTTTTCTTTTTTCCTTCCTTCTTTTCTTTTTATGTTCGTTCTTTCCTTCTTTCTTTCCTTCTTTCTTTCTTTCTTTCTTTCTTTCTTTCTTTCTTTCTTTCTTTCTTTCTTTCTTTCTCTTTCTCTCTCTCTTTCTTTCTTTCTCTCTCTCTTTCTTTCTTTCTCTCTCTCTTTCTTTCTTTCTCTCTCTCTTTCTTTCTCTTTCTTTCTCTCTTTCTTTCTTTCTTTCTCTCTTTCTCTTTCTTTCATGTCTGGCTGTCTGTCTGTCTCTCTTTATGTCTGTCTCTTTCAAACTTCCCTTGGAGGACCTATGTCCTCAAATATATAGACTGCCAAAAATAGAAACTCTGTAGGGACTTTTTGGGTAAACAAATGTTAGTCAATCAGCAGCTATTCAAACACTGATAATCTTTGTAGGGACCAGCACTTTAACCTCTGTACAGCAATCAGATGACCAGAAACATCCTGATAATTCTTTGAAAAAACAGGATTTTATCCGTGGCTCTGTCAGTCTCTGCCAGAACACTACTGCACAAACATATCTCATCGCTCCACTCTTTCTTGCATATTAAAAAAGGAGGAGTACAGGTCATCAATTTAGATATGTGCAAATATTGACAGAAGAAAAATTTAACAGGTAGCGCACAAAAGAATCTAAAACCTGCTGTTCTCAGGACCTTAAGCAAACAGTATTGACAACACCAGACATAAATATAGTTAAGTCAGATAATGATTTCACTTTCATGTGTCCTAAATCCTAGAAGACTGTATCTTCAGAAGAAAATGAATTCACACAAGAGAAGATTTGCTCCTCTATGAATGTTCATTTCCTTACACAGTTTACTTTACTTTCCCACAGATTTTGTGCTTATTATAAAACAAATGTTTTGTGAAGGTTGCTGGATTAATCATTCTTCACCTGTCAAGGAACCTGAGTACTTCAGCAGGATTCTCCATAGGGTGCTGGGTAGAAGAACAACACTAGAAGTGAACATTATGTGACCCATGTGAAGGCAAACCTGTGTCTGGTTTGTATGGCAGAATGGTACACCACACCAGCCTGTTCAGCACCAATAGCAGCACTTTCTACTGTTGCTGGCTTTGGGCCTCCTGCTTTGCTGATCTGAAAGACAGGTAAAGAAAGTCTGAGCAGCTTTTATGTTGCAAGGCTGAATGGGAGCAAAGACCAGAGAGAGCATGAGATGAAAATATGACAGGAATGCAATTCCAGCAGCTGTGGCCAGACAAAGAGAATGGTCTTCTGCCTCTCATCGTGTCCTCTGGACAGGACACTGGCTGCACAGTGCTGAAATAGGGGCACAAGTGCCTTTCACCTTCTCTGTCCATGCAGGGTTATTTTTCTGTTTGGTAAAGGCTGCCAGTTAAACATGGTGGCAGTCTGCATGCTTGTGCAGCTTGCAGCACTCAGTCTGGCTCTTCCCTGTTTCAGGATAGCAGTGAGGCTGAATATTTTGAGGTGGAATTCATTTCTAATTTTAAGCGCCTGAAAGAAAGGCTTGTCATCAAAGTCATCTGGCAAAGCTCTCATCACAGGGAGAGACAGGCAATTCCCCAGGGTGATTCACCCCACCTATCTCCAGCTCTATTCTTAGGATATGGTGAATCATGCTCTGGAGTCACTCCACTGACTGGAGGGGGAGCCCATGAAATGGTTGATGGCAGACATGCAACTTGAAGGCAGCTGAAGTTAGATGAACACAGTCTCTTCCCTGCTGATAGCAGGTCAGTTTGTATCTTTCCAGTACAATCTGTGGTATCTTCTGCTCCTAGGCACGATGATAAGGCATAATCAGGGATGGGAAGATCAGTTGGTTTCTAGAATTTTGGTCTTTTACAATAACTGTGAAAGTGACAAGTTCAAAAATGTGCCAGGCCATATCCTCCCTGGACCTGTAATGCTGGGCTCCATGCAGAAGAAGGATACTGTCCTCCCGACTTCTCTGCCATCTCCAGAGAAAGTCCTGACACTGCCTCAGGCCTGGCTTATCAGCACCTGCCACTGGCATCCTAGTGCCTACCAACAGCCTGTGTATGACAGCTGCAGACCTATCTCCTGGTGAATCATTTGATCTCTTGCCAGCCATGTGGTCAGCTGAAAAGGCATGGGTGAAGATACTGCAGGTATTCCCAAGTGAGATCACTTTCTAGTCACTGTGCTTGCATTTCCTTTCTTATCCAGGGGAAACTTATGGAACTTAACTTTCTTTCCTCCCAGTTGATCCATAATTGGGATAATGGGCTCTGGTATTTTGATGAAAAAAACTAAAAGACAAATGACTTCAGTCAAATCACTTCTAAGACACAGGCTAGGAGAACTGGGGGAAGCCCTCCATTTCTCCAGCTATATGGAAAACTCAAGGTGGTAGCAGACCCTATGTTTTTTTGGGGGTACAGCTTGCAGACCCCAGTTAAACCAAGCTTTTCAGTACAGAAAAGCCTAGCATAGAGAGTCTCCCTGTTCAGTGAAATGGAAGACCTGGCTTCAAGTGTGTCAGATCAGCTCCAGTGGTTTCAGCAGTTGCAGTGACATGTGGGATTAGGGTCAATGCCAGGAACAACATTCTGGGGAGAAGCTTCAGGAAACTTGAGATGAAAGAGGAGAAGCTGTTACGCAAAATGCTGTTGCTGTACTGATAACAGGCAATGTAAACAAGAAATCCCCAGACTGTCAAACAACCTATGATCACCAGGAGTCCTCCAGGCTTGTGAATAAGACCCACAGAATGGGTTCACAGTATTACGCGTACTTATGGTAAGTGCTGGAGGCTTTTGAACAAGAGAACAATCCTCCTAGATAAGGACAGACTGGGGATGGCAGGTGAATACCTGTGCACAGCCACCCTCCTGCAGGGTTGTGTGTATTTCAGAGGGGAGAAGAGGATAAACTGATTTGAAAAAAATGTCAGCCAGTACACAAAGACACACAGCTAAGTGATGATGTAGTTTCAAAATGTGTCTTACTAATAACAGTATTTCTAAAACCAAAACCTTGTCATAGTCTGCTTCCCACAGTATGCTTGGCAGGCACAGTTCAGCAAGGCCTTGTCTTGGAGAAAATGCCTGTTATCTGGGTGGGCCACATGGGCTTCC